ACACACACACACACACACACACACACACACACACACACACACACACACACACACACACACACACACACCACACACACACACACCGCCCTTCACCCCCATGCACGCGCCGATTTCGGCACGCCCCACACGGGGTGACTGGCCTCATCGGGGACTCCACGGAAGGCCTCACTGCCACCGCCCGCGCACGTCCCCCACGCCCATCTCGGCATACCCATATAGCGTAACGACCATTGGCAAGGGCAGCAGAGCTACGCAAACTAGGTGGCAGCGTACACGGGTACATAATAGGCAGGCGAAGCGACGCAAACCATAATGTAGCGAACGTGCGCCAACCCCAGTTCCCTCATATGCCCTCGCGATCCAAGAAGACTTTGGGACCTTTCGGGTTCTCGAGCATTCAACAACACCTTGACGCCTTTCGAGCAAAAGAGGCCCACCTCCGCCCTCCCCCTCCCAACCCACGCCCTCCACCGCCTTTGAAGATTCATTTTCAGGCCAAGCCCGCTCGGGCCACCCAACTCTCTCGGCCCCGCGCGGCGATGCCGAGGAATGAGAAGGCGTGGTGGCTGCGGTTGGCCCCAGACGAAGCGTCATGGTGGTTGGACAGCGACGTGGGCATCAGTTCGTGGGGCAGTTCGGTCAAGGGACATTTGGCACGAATGAGCACGACGCATTGGAACATGAGCACGAATGACAGAGACCTCGGTTGCCACGGGAAGGGCGGCCAAGGAAAGGGCAAGGGCAAATTGGCGGCCGCGGAAGCCAGGAAGGGAGTCGTGCCAGACGGCACGGCGATCAAGTACAATAGGGTCGTCAACAAGAAGTTGACTGATGGTTGAGCGGGCGGCCGTAGGCGACGAGGAGGATGATGGTGGGGAGGAATGTAAGGAGGCTCTTCCTCTTGCTCCTCCTCCTCCCACCCCTTCCGCCTCCTAACATGTCTCAGGATCCTCATCCTCTTCCTCATCCGCCTCATCCTCCCTCTCCCCCTCTCCTTGCATAGGCCAGGTAATGTAAGGCACGCGTTATGCTGCCCGTTCTACATGCACGAGGCCGTCTGCTGGCCAACCGCTGCACGCGCGCGTGGCATTGTGTTTCACGGCTGCGCGCCTCCATACCGCGTGCGTTAATGATGCATTACCCGTGCTCTCGCGCTCGTCTTCCTTGCCCCCCTGATCGTGCACCTCCCCATCTATTTGTCATCGCCGTGCTGCCCGCGATGGCATTGCCCCGCCGCCGTCGCCGTTGCCGATAAGAACGGAGGCCACGTCATCGACAGCTCGATTCGCCCAGATGCCCCAACCACCCTCCGACTGCGGCGCCGCCCTTGAGAGATGGGCGGGTCTGGGGAGATGGGTGGGCGCACATCTTGGAGACTCGTGCCCGCGCTGATGTGGCCTCCGAACCGTGAGGCTATAGGCGATGTATCCGCACGCGCGGTCCAATTATGTCGCGTGACATTGTTGGCCGCATGATTCATTGACCTTGCACGCAGCTGCTTTGTTTGACGCCTCGGATTGGCACTGGAGGCACAAAGGCGATATAACGCAAGCAACAATGTTTCACCCCACGGTTTTGACGCCGTTCGACAACTTGGGGCAAGACTTGGGGAGCTCGTTTGGACACTTGGAGTCGTCATGTGGCTGTTTTGAAGCGTCTTCAGAGGATCCTCGGAGCATCTTCGAAGCGCGCGATGTCGTGAGCCATCTCGGAGGCTATCTTGACCCCCCCCCCCCTCCCATGAGACCCCCATGGAGCTGTTTTGGGCAACCTTCGGCTCTCTGACCCCCGCCCCCCCGTCCAGGCCCATGGGGAGTGGATGGGCACGGGGGGGTGGGTGGGTGGGGGGGGGGGGGGTAAACCCCCTCCCCGACGGAGAAACGCATTGTCTTTCGTTTCGTCACCATCCGTCGGCCCCGCCCTTTTTTCTCATGGCATGCATTCCCATCTAGCCCTACGCATTCGATGGGTATCCATCGCGTCTCGCACCGTTCGTCCGGTTGAGTCTCATCCCCCGCTGCCCTGATCACCCCGACGCCCGTGTAGTCATCAGTTCTGGATGGGTTGGCGGAGCGCGCGAAGCGTAGCCAACTCAATCGCTCACAAAGTAAATCGCACGGACAGAGCGAGCACGCTCAGCTCGACCGCGAGTTCTGCGGCCTTGACCGCCACAAGCAGGCATATAGCTAAGACGTGCGCCCTACTTCTGGCCCTTGCCGAACACACGCTCGAATGAGCGAGCCGCCATTGCGTGGAACTCCCGAGCGACGATCTTGGCCGCTGCATCGCTCATGCCGCTCGACGCGCATCGCCTCCTGGCGACCCCGTGCGCCCGCGACGTAAAATCGTTCTTGCCTTTCGGGTAGTCGGCCGTGCACGTCGCCTCAGAACGGAAGTCGGACGCGCTGACCTCGGCGATCCTACGGCCCGCGCCGCCCTTGCCAGCGGCCTTGCCGCCGCTGCCAGCGGACGCGCCGCCCTTGCCAGCGGCCTTGCCGCCCCTGCCGCCCCTGCCACCCTTGCCGGCGGCCTTGCCGCCCCTGCGCGCGGACGCGAGCACGGAAGCAGCGGCTGCCCTGCCAGCTTTCTTCGTCTGCGTCTTTGGGCCTTTCGTCTTGCGGCTAGCGCGATGCTTGGCGCCCTCGGCTGCGTCCCTGACGACGGCCTCAAGCTCACCGACGGGGTCGCAGTCCTGGGCGGCGACGCCAACGGGGGCACAACCGCGCCCCAGCAAAGAGGGCATCGGAGACGGAGTCGACATCGATGCGTCGGCGAGGGCTGGCGGCGTCGCCGAGGGCGGCGAAGGCGGCGCGCTCTGTGTCACAGGGCTGGTGGATACAGCGGCCAATGGGCCAGGCGGCGTCGCGCCATGTTTCTGCGATTGTCAGAAAATCTGCAACCCAGGGATGGCCCCCACTGCCTGCTGCAAGACCTGCGCGAAGGGTGCCATCGCTGAAGTCACCGCCGCGGCCATCATCTGCTCATTCGTCTGTTGGTTGGGGGCCGCGCCCTGCTGGTCCTTCATGCCATTGTGGGACTTGCGGTAGCAGCAGGTCGACGCGGACAACTGCAAACCGTCGATCACGAACGGCACGGGCATCTCGCCACCGTACGCGTGCTGAATGTGGGCAGGAGGCAGCTCCATGGGGTCAGATGGGTACTGCAAGATGTGAGCCAACGGGAACCTCTTTTCCTTGCCCATGGCTTTGACGTAGCCCAGGATCGCCTTGCCGATGCTCGATTGACTGCTCGGGCTCATGCTCATCACCTTGAGCCCAGCCAGCTGCATGATGCCGGTCGCGCGCTTGAGCACCTGGTTCGAAGGGCAGACCAGCCCCAGCTTGTACAGCTGCACGGCAACCATGCGACTCGCGACATCGACGTCCACGGCCTCCGTCTTGAAGTAGTCGTGGGGCCGCTGCGTGAAATACCTTTCCAAGGTCTCGCACGTCTGAACGTCGCGCTTGCCACCCGTGATTTCGGAGCGGCTCGTGCAGGCGTTGATCGCGCCAGCGATGCCTGATGATTGGGTCTGGGACCAGGGCCCCAACCCGACCTGGCGCGTCAGGCGGGCGGCGCCCGCCAAGCTGAGGTTCTGCACCTGGCTGAGGTGGAGCATAAAGGCGTTGGCCTTGGCGTCGGAGACGTCGATCCCGATGGACCTCTGCAGCGTCACGATCTCAGAACGCTGGTTCAGCTGCGTGACGAGCACCTCAACCGCCTGCTCTGATGACACTGGCGACGCCATGGACTGTCTGCCGCGCGCGCGGATCACAAAAGCAGCCACGCCCGTGAGAGCGTGAGTTGTCTAAGAGATACATATATGTTCAACAACTGGACTCGCCCTTCAGGGGGGGGGGGGGGGGCGCCGCTGATTTCGGACATGGGATGGGGGAGAGGGGAAGGTGGCGGCCCGCGAGAAATAGAATTTCTTCCAAGTTGCCATTGGGCGGGCTGCAGTGTGACACCCCTCGCGCGGATCGTGCGGTGCCCAGGAGGCGTGCCACAATTCACATCATCGCGTCTTACATCGCACCACATTCATTACACCACCCCTCCCCAACAAAATATAATAAACTTCTCAGGGACGGCCATGCAATGCGATCCGCGCCGCGGCCACGTGAGCCCTCAAAGGTCGCGCCGCACCCCCCCCCCCCCCCCCCCCCCCCCCCCCTTGGGGCGCTAGCAGAGAGATAGGGACCGTGAACCAGGGCCCGAGGGAATCTTGGAAGCCATCTTGGTGAGTGGCAGCTCCAAGATGGCCCCAAGACAGCTCCCCAAACGGCCCTTAGAGGGCCCCCCAAAAGACGGATGATAAGGCCTTGGAGGCCCCGAGGTGCCGTCAAATGGCCTCGAAGATGCCAGGACAAAGCGTCATCTATCCGTAGCTATTTCTTGTTCAAGCGCGTCGGCTGTCCTCGGGTCTTGGAGAGGATGGGGAAGCGCTGGCGCCTGCAGCGCCAGGCAGAGGGCAAAGGGAAGTATGGCAAGGACAAGGGCAAGCGGGGCAAGCGCAACTTCAAAGGCAAGGGCCAGCGCAAGGGCCGCAAGGGCCACAAGGGCATGGGCTGCGATTACGATTCGGACACCTACGATTCGGAGTGCGAATGGGACACTGATGATTCGGTTGACGACGACAGCGAGCCAAGGCACAGGCACAAGCACAAGCACAGCGAGTCCATGCACAGGCACGACGACAACGAGTCCAGGCACAGGCGGCACAGGCACGACGACAGCGAGTCCAGGCACAAGCGGCACAGGCACGACGACAGCGAGGCCAGGCGCAAGCGGCACAGGCACGACGACAGCGAGTCCAGGCACAGGCGGCAGCGGCACGACGACAGCGAGTCCAGGCGCAGGCCGAGGCGCGACGACCACGAGTCCAGGCACAGGCTGAGGCGCGACGACGACCGCGAGTCCAGGTCACGGAGCAGGGGCAGGCCCAGGTACAGCAACAACGCGCCTGTAACCCCATCCGTTGCCGTTGCCCGAGCCTGCTT